GACGTGTTGATCTGTGTGTGGTGTGTCTCCCTCTTGGCCATACTCGAAGTTTCACCTGTTCGGGCGAGTCAGAACCTGAGCAGTTCCTGGGTGGTGGGGGTCGGGAGGGCTGTCCCCGGGGCTGTGGGCGTCCCCAGGGCTGTGGGCATCCCCAGGGCCGTGAGGGTCCCCGGGGCCGTGGGGGTCCCCAGGGTTGTGGGCGTCCCCAGGGCCGTGGGGGTCCCCGGGGCTGTGGGTGTCCCTGGGGCTGTGAGGGTCCCCGGGGCCGTGGGGGTCCCCAGGGTTGTGGGTGTCCCCAGGGCCGTGGGGGTCCCTGGGGCTGTGGGTGTCCTCTCGGCCGTGGGGGTCCCCGGGGCTGTGGGTGTCCCTGGGGCCGTGAGGGTCCCCGGGGCCGTGGGGGTCCCCAGGGTTGTGGGCGTCCTCCGGGCCATGGGGGTCCCCGGGCTGTGGCTCAGGCACAGCCTCGCCCTGCGGAGTGGGAGCACCACCAGCCCGTAAGGGTCAGTGTGTATGTCCTTGGTCCCCAGGGTGTCGTCTTCCCCGGGTGATGAGAGCACCCAGGCGTAGTCCAGCCAGTGGACTCGGTGGTCCAGCCCAGACCCAAGCCCCCTAGGGTCAGAGATCTGAGGAAGTCTCATTTTCTTCCTTGTATCAGCTGCTTTTTTCCCCAGATGTTCCAAGGATTTTTTTTTCCTTCCTTTTTTGGCTGTTCCTTGCGGTTGCAGATGTGTTAGCTGGCCAGGGATGGCCCTGAGCTGTCAGCTGTGAGGCTTCAGCAGTTGTGGCTCGCGGGCCCTGGGGCACAGGCTCGGTAGCTGTGGTGAGTGGGCTTAGCTGCTCCGTGGCGTGTGGGGTCTTCCTGAATCATGGATTGAACCCGCGTCTCCTGCATTAGCAGGTGTATTCTTTACCACTGGGCCGCCAGCGAAACGCTCTTCATTTCTATTTGATCTAAATGATTCTGTCTCTTTTCATCTTCTGCTTCTCTTCAGGCCTCTGTGTGTGTTCTTCTGTTCTTTTTCTTTCTGGCTGTGCCGCACACCTTGTGGGATCTTAGTTCCCTGGGCAGGGATTGAATCCTTGGCAGTGAGAGCACAGGGTCTTAACAACTGGACTGTCAGGGAATTCCCTCTTTTTATTCATTTTTGAAATGATTTTTAATGTCTATCTTACCTGATTTCTCTCACCTAGTGTCTGAGTTGCTCTGTGGATTTTTCAGTCCCTTCTCCGCTTTTCTTGCTGTCCTCCACCTTGTCTGGGGCTGGAGGTTTCAGTGCTGCTCTGTCTGTGGGGCCGTCTGCCTGCTGCGTGCCGTCTCTGTGTGGGGGTGACTCAGCCCCCTGTGTGGTGGTTTACGTGAGGTTAGTCTTCCGGACTGTGGTGGCGTGGGGCCCAGGGTGGCCCTCCTGTCGCACAGACGCCCTCCGCTGTCTGCACTGGGCACTGCTCTTGGTACCTCTGAGCCAGGAGCAGTGCCTGCGCTCTGCCCCGGTCCTCACGCTCTGCCCTGGGGGCAGTCCCTTCTCCCTTTTCATACTGTTCATGGGGTTCTCAAGGCAAGAGTACTGAAGCAGTTTGCCATTCCCTTCTCCAGTGGACCATGTTTTGTCAGAACTCTCCACTCCGTCTTGGGTGGCCCTACATGACATGGCTCATAGTTTCATTGAGTTAGTCAAGGTTGTGGTCCATGTGATTAGATTGGTTACATTTCTGTGATCGTGGTTTCCAGTCTGTCTGCCCTCTGATGGAGAAGGATAAGAGGCTTACGGAAGCTTCCTGACTGGAGAGACTGACTGAGGCAGAAACCGGGTCTTGTTCTTTTGGGTGGGGCCATGCTCAGTAAATCTTTAATCCAATTTTCTGTTGATGGGCGGGGCTGTGTTCCCTCCCTGTTAGTAGACCTGAGGCCAAACTCCTGGAGGTAATGAAGATAATGTTGACCTCCTTCAAAAGGTTCCATGCAGGCAGTGATGCACTCAGTGCCCCAACCTGCAGCAGGCCACCGTGACCCACACCTCTGCTGGAGATTCCTAGATACTCTCAGGCAAGTCTGGGTCAGTCTCTTGTGGGGTCACTGCTCCTTTCTCCTGGGTCCTGGGGAGCACAAGGTTTCATTTGAGCCCTCCAAGAGTCTTGTTTCCCCAGTTCTGTGTAAGTTCTGTAATCAAAGCCCACTGGCCTCCAAAGTCAGATTCTCTGGGAGTTCTCAGTACCTTTGCCAGATCTCCAGGTTGGGGAATCTGTTATGGCTCCTGGTAGTGGTTTAGTTGCTCAGTCTTGTGATCCCAGGGACTGTAGCCTGCCAGGCTCCTCTGTCTATGGGATTTTCCAGGTAAGAATACTGGAGTGGGTTTGCCATTTCCTTCTCCAGAGCATCTTCCTGACTCAGGAATTGAACCTGGGTCTCCTGCAGTCCGGGCAGCTTCTTTACCAATGGAGCTATGAGGGAAGCCCTGTGGGGTTATGGGTCGTAGAACTTTCTTAGCAGTGTGAGAAGTTCTTTGGTATAGTTGTCCTGCAGTTTGTGGGTCATCTGCTTGGTCATCTGCTCTCTAGTGGGTTAATGGTGACCTCCTCTATGAGGGCTCAGGTCACAGGCTGTGTGACCCCGGGAGCCCCACCCAGAGCTGCGCCCCTCGCAGGAGGCTCTGAGGTCTGGCTCAGGCTCTGGGTCCTGGTGCTCACAAGCTTTTTGTTTGCACCCTCTGCGCAACTCTGGTGGGTATGGGGTTTGATTCTAAACATGATTTCACCCTTCCTGTCATCTTGCTGGGGCTTCTCCTTTGCCCTTGGACGTGGGGTATCTTTTTTTGGTGGGATCCAACATTCTCCTGTCGATGGTTGTTCAGCAGTGAGTTGTAATTCTAGAGTTCTCACAGGAGAAGATGAGTGCACATCCTTCTACTCCGCTGTCTCGCCAGGAGAGGCACAGCTGAGCGTCACTGAAGGCATGAGGCTGGGCGTCTGGGGGAGGACATGAGCGGGAGGAGCCGCGGGGACACAGCCACGCTGTGCCTTCGGCCGCCTGACGCGAAGAGCTGGCTCATTGGAAAGGACCCTGGTGCTGGGAAAGGTTGAAGGCGGGAGGAGAAGGGGGCGACAGAGGGTGAGATGGTTGGATGGCATCACCGACGCGATGGACATGAGTCTGAGTAAACTCCGGGAGTGGGTGATGGACAGGGAATCCTACGTGCTGCAGTCCATGGGGTTGCAGAGATTCGGACACGACTGAGCGACTGGACTGAACTGGCCCTCTCCTGCCTCCCGCCCAGGTGTGTTGCTGTGAGGCCTTGTGACTTTCTGTGGTTTCCTTGTCGAGGGAGCTGTGCTCAGAGAGGCGAAATCATTGCCCTCCGTTGCAGAGCAAACCAGAGGCAGTGGTTGGATCCAGCCTTAGTGCCCCACTCCAGAGCCTGCTCTTGTCCTTGGGAGAGCGTGCCCGCCGTTCATTAAAATAAATGTGTGTGTGCGTGCTGTAAATCGACACAGCTTAGGCTAAAAAGCCCCAGCTTCGTGCCCCCGCCTGGTCTTGCTGCTCGCCGTGGTTCCCCTTGCTCCTGTGCGTCCTTCCCCCTGACCTCCGAGCCTGAGCTGTCAATCCCCTCCGTTCAGCCTGGTGCCCTCTTCACTCCCTTCCAATCCTTTGTCATTTCTGCTCAACTAAGTTCCTGCCACGCAGGCCTTTCCCTCGGGCTTGGCGGATAGAGCCGAGTTCACGTACCACGGAGCAGCACATACCAGTTCCTGCACCCTCAAGAGGAGCACATGCCAACATGGTCATACAGCGGCACACCCCTGCGGGCCCTCCTGCCCGTGCTCAGGCCAGGCTGTGTGGCGCCACCTGCAGGTCCTGTGGGCGGAAGGCACCCACGACCTTGTTTCGTAGCCCTTTGGCCCAGTCAGTAAAGCCTACTGCTGCAGAGATATAAACGTTTTCAGGAAAACTTAAAAAAAGTTTGTGCTTGACCCACCACCCCGCCTGCAGCTTTGTAGGGTGCCCTTGGGTCCTGGGGTGCTTCTTCCAGAGGGCCGGCATTGGAGCTGGGAAGGAGAGTCCAGTCCCCTTGGCCCGCCCCTCACTCCCAGAGCTGACTGCTGTGCTCGTGTTAAAGACACCCAGCCTCTACTCACCCCCCCCAACCCCCACTTGGAGCATCGTCTCCCTGAGGGCAGAAGTGTTGTTTTAACCTGAGTCTGGGCACCTTGAGCAGTGCCTGGTGGGTGAGCGTGCCTCTCCGCCCGGCCGGGGCCTTGCTAGAGCAGAAGGGGTTCGAAGGAGGATTCTTTTATTTTGGAGATGCACAGCCCTGTTTGTCAGCAAGTTAGTGGTGCAAGAGCTGGTGCTGGGAGTGCCCTGGGAGGGGGCTGCCTCTGTGAGGTGGGATCAGTCCCACAAGGGGCAGCGGTGGAAGCTGGGCGGTGGGTGGCATGTCTTCAGGGCGTCTGTGAGCGCCCAGCCTGTTGGTGGTCCTGAGGCGGTTGCTGTGGAAACCTCTTCTGCCTCTGGGGTAGGGACTTACTTGCCTGCCCCCAGAGGCCTTTGCTGGTAGCTGCACTCCTGCTTTGAAGAAGCAGTGGGATGTTACACAGAGGGAGCGCACGACTCAGCTTGCCTATGTGATGAGCAGCTTCCTCTGTGCAGTGTTGCTGAGACGTGTGGCCCTGGGGAACGGCGTCTGCCCCTCAGGCCTGTGTGCACAGCTGTCAGGGGACTGAGATGAGCACACAGGCCAACCATGGCGAGGAGGGTGAGGGGCGCAGAGCAGGGTGTGGGGGTGTGAGTGTCTGAAGTGAATGCGTCTTCCTTCCTTCTTTATGTAGTAGACGGTTCCCAGCTTCACTGCTTACTATAGAAGTGCACCTGTCAGATTTCGTGGGCCTGGAATTTCATAAAGAAAGAAAATTAGAAGCCTACAGTAATTAAAACTTGACACTTTAAAAAATGATCTTGAAGTAAAAGTCAGCTTTAGGAGCAGTCGCTTAGCTGAATGTGGTTTATTATGGAGCATGCTCAGCAGCGCTGTGAGAACGCCCAGGTCCAGGACTGGCGAGAAGGCAAGCAGAGCTGACCATGTGCTGCTGGGGGGCTCCCCTCACTCGAGGAGCATCCACGGACTCGCTGGTCCTGACGAGGGGCCGCACCCGACTGACTGGCCTCACTGGAGGCCAGTGGCGTCTTCCCTTGGGCTCCTATGAGCCTGATTCTGCCTTTAGCTCTGATGTGTCACTGTTGTCAGGGAAGAGGTGTTTGTTTAGAAGTCAGTTAAAGTGATGCCTTTGTGTTTTCTTTTTTAGGCAAAAGTAAAGAAGCAGAAATAAAGAGAATAAACAAAGAGCTGGCAAACATTAGATCCAAATTTAAAGGTAAGTGTTTAGCCTTTGTCCACACACACAATATTCTTTTGTAAATTTTGCAAAAGGGACTTAATCTCTTAATCTCATCTTTATTTTTTTCATTTCAAATCAGAGTGAAAGCCTCAGTACAGATGCTGTCCTGGCTCTGTGGATGTTTAAAGTAAAGCCGGTGGTTATTCTGGAGTTGTTTGATGGTGTATGTAGAGTTGATCCTGGATGGCGGGGCTCCTCCCCGGTCCAGCCTTTCCCTGGAGCTGGGGGGACACTGGCCTGGAGCAGTCCCCCGACCCCGACTCTGCTCACAGGGTGCAGGAGCTCCAGCCAGCTCCCTGCTCTGCGTGGGGGCCCCTGTGCTTACCTGAGCTCTTCCCGCCGGAGGCATCTTCAACTGTGTCTGCACAGTGACCCCGCGCCCTCTCTGCCGGCCAGCCTGAGGGGCGGGCACTCCCTGAGCGGCCTCATTTGGGAGAATCGTCAGGTGTAGATTTTCATTCTTGGGACGTAGAATGTCCCAAGGGACATCTATGTCCCTTGGGACGTAGACTTTAAATTTTCAGTAAATTTTTACAAATTTGAGACCTGGTTCAAATCTCTGTGCAGACGTTAGCCAGAGGAGTGGCTGAAATCACCTAGAAAAAGTGCGTAGAGGAGAGGGCGTGGTGAGCCCATTGAACGGAGGGGCCGCGGAAGGCAGGGCTGCTGGGCGGTTGCTGCTGCGGGCGAGCGTGGACATCCGGTGCGGTCAGGACGCAGGCCCTCGTGGGGCCAGGGTTGCTCCTCACGGACTCGGGGAGGTGTTCTGTCTTACTGTTGACCAGTCCAAGGATCCTCTGGGAGGCCTGAGAAAGTCTGGGAATTTTATGTCGAGTGGTTTGCTTATACAAACGTTTCTTGTGTGTGTGTGTGTGTGTGTGTATGGGGGGATGTCTATAACTTTCATTGCTTAAATTTGTAAATAATTTAGACTTTTTTGTAGAACAGTTTTCTTTATTTTTAAGTTTTTATTGGAGTGTAGTTGCTTTACAGTGTCAGTTTTTGTTTTTTTTGAATGTAGTTGTTTTTGGCTGCTGCTGGGTCATCATTGCCTTAGCAGGCTTTTTCTGTTGACAGTTGCAGCGCCCTGGGGCCTTCTTTGGTGGAACACAGGCCCCAGGGTGTGCCGGCTGCGGTGGTTGTGACGCATGGGCCTGGTTGCTCTGCATCACGTGGACACTTCCTGGACCAGGGATCGAACCCACCTCCCCTGCACTGGCAGGCAGATTCTTATCCTCTGTGCCATCAGGGAAGTCCGTGTCGGTTTCTACTAGACAGCAAAGTGAATCAGCTCTGTGTGTACTTGTGTCCCCTTATTTTTGGGTTTCCTTCACATCACCCCAGGCCACTGAGGAGAGCCCCATGCTGTGAGGTAGGTTTGTGTTGTCTGTTTTACACATGAGTGCTGACTCACTTCAGAAGTGTTTGAGTTTCTGTGACCTTGGGAACGGTAGCCGTGGGGTTCTCCGGGCGTGAACACTGGAGTGGGCTGCCACGCTCTCTTCCAGGGGAGCTTCTCGACCCAGGGACCCAACCCTCCTGCATCGGCAGCTGGATTCTTCACCACTAGTGCCACGTGGAGACCTCAGTGTGTGTGTGTCAGCTGCAGTCCCCCCAGTGTTCGTGTATACAGTTTTAGGTTCCCAGCAAGGTTGAGAGGGAGGTGCAGAGACCCCTCAGGCCCCCGCTGTCCCCACAGATGTCCCGGCGCGCGCCTTCTGTCACAGCCGCACAGGGAGCCGTTCCCTGTCGGGACGCCCCTCCATGCGCTTCCTCGCCGCCCCAGCCCGCGCTCCCCTGGCCTTGGTGCTCCCTCCGCGGCCCCCTTTTCTAGAAAGTCTCAGCAGTGGGGGCCTGTTTGCACCTCTCACTGTTACACTTACGTGAGGTTTCTTCCTGCCTCACTGTGGCCTGACAGCTCGCTTCTTCTTAGATGACTCGCATTCCACTGTTCAGTGTGCCACGGTTTGTATCCGTTCACCTATTGAAGGACATCTTGTTTGTTTCCAGGTGTGGGTAGTTACGAGTAAAGCTGCTGTAAACATCAGTGTGCAGGTTTTACTGTTGTTGTGTTTTCAAGGAGCGTGACTGCTGATCATGTGGTGAGAGAGTGTGCACGTTTGTGAGAAGCCACCCAGCTGTCTCCACGGGGGCTGCGCATTTGCGCCCCACCTGCGAACTGCAGCCGCCAGGCCTCCCTGTCCTTCCCCATCTCCCGGAGCTCGCTCAAACCCCTGTTCGTCAAGTCAGTGATGCCATCCAACCATCTCATCCTCTGTCGTCCCCTTCTCCTCCTGCCTTCAGTCTTGCCCAGCATCAGGATCTTTTCCAATGAGTCAGTTCTTTGCATCAGGTGGCCAAAGTATGGCGCTTCAGCATCAGCATCAGTCCTTCCAATGAATATTCAGGACTGATCTCCTTTAGGATGGACTGGTTGGATCTCCTTGCAGTCCAAGGGACTCTTAAGAGTCTTCTCCAGCACCACAGTGGTTGGATCTCCTTGCAGTCCAAGGGACTCTTAAGAGTCTTTTCCAACACCACAATTTGAAAACATCAGTTCTTCTGCTCTTGGCCTTCTTCATAGTCCAACTCTCACATTCGTAAATGACTACTTGAGAAACCAAAGCTTTGACTAGACGGACCTTTGTCGGCAAAGTTATGTCTTTGCTTTTTAATATACTGTCTAGGTTTGTCATAGCTTTCCTTCCAAACAAGTGTCTTTTCATTTCATGGCCGCAGTCACCATCTGCAGTGATTTTGGAGTCTAAGAAAATAAAGTCTGTCACTTTTTATTTTTTCCCACATCTGTTTGCCATGGAGTGATGGACCAGATGCCATGATCTTAGTTTTTTTTTATGTTGAGTGTCAAGTCAGCTTTTTCACTCTCCTCTTTCACCCTCATCAAGAGGCTCTTTAGTTCCTCTTCACTTTCTGCCATTAGAGTATCATCTATGTACTTTAGGTTGTTGATATCTCCCAGAAATCTTAATTCTAGCTTGTGAGTCATCCATCCCAGCATTTCATATGATGTACTCTGCATGTAAGTTAAATAAGCAGAGTGACAATATATAGCGCTGTTGTACTCCTTTCCCAATTTTGAACCATTCCATTGTTCCATGTCTGGTTCTAACTGTTGCTTCTTGTCCTGCATACAGGTTTCTCTGGAGACAGGTAAGGTAGTCTGGTATTCTGGTCTTTTTAAGAATTTTCCCCAATTTTTTGTGATCCACACAGTCAAAGGCTTTAGTGTGGTCATTGAAGCAGAAGTAGATGTTTTTCCGGAATTCCCTTGCTTTTTTGATGATCCAGTGGATGTTGGCAATTTGATCTCTGGTTCCTCTGCCTTTTCTAAGTCCAGCTTGTACATCTGGAAGTTCTCAGTTCACGTACTGCTGAAGCCTAGCTTGAAGGATTTTGGACATAACCTTACTAGCATGGAAAATGAGCACGATTGTGTGGTAGTGTGAATATTCTTCAGCATTGCCTTTCTTTGGGATTGGAATGAAAACTGACTTTCCCAGTCCTGTGGCCACTGCAGAGTTTTCCAAATTTGCTGACATATTGAGTGCAGCACTTTAACAGCATCATCTTTTAGGATTTGAAATAGTTCAGTTGGCATTCCATCACCTCTGCTAGCTTTGTTCCTAGTAACGCTTCCTAATAAGGCCCACTTGACTTCACACTCTAGGATGTCTGGTTGTAGGTGAGTGACCGCGCCACCAGTTTTCTGGGTCTTTAAGACCATCTCCGTCTAGCTCTGTGTATCTTTGCCACCTCTCCTGAATCTCTTCTGCTTCTGTTTGGTCCTTGCCATTTCTGTCCTTTATTGAGCTCATCCTTGCATGGAATGTTCCCTTGGTATCTCTGATATTCTTGAAAAGGTCTCTAGTCTTTCCCATTCTTCAAAGTCTTGGAGGGTGGTTATCAGTCAGAATGACTTTTGTCTCCAGGGCCAGAGGCTGGTCCAGCTGGGTTTGGCAAGCTACTGCCACCTACTGGGTGGAGGACAGGGAGGCCACCAGACACCCCAGAACCGCCTGCCTGAGGAGGCCCAGTGCCGAGGTTGAGCAGCTGGGCTCTAGGAGGAAGTTAGCCCAGAGCTCACCAACAAGAGGCCTCTTTCCACTTCAAGCTGAGCCCTGAGACGCAGTGCCCTTAGGGCGGGAGTGACCTGGGAGACAGCCGCCCTGTCCTAGTCCTCTGGAGGAAGAGGTGACCGTCGCAGGTGGAGCCATGCAGTAGGCCTCACCTACCATCCGCAGCTGACTTTTCAAGGGTGTCGTCTCAGCACCCTCACAGTGGAGCCCGAGGGCGCGGCCGGGGCCAGAGGGGTGACGGCAGCGGGCTCTCAGGGGCCTCTGAGACGAGACTCCGAGGGCGGCAGAGCTGGGCCACTGTTTGTGAAGCAGTGAGACAAACGTGGAAGCTTCAGTGGGGGCCTTAGACAGTATTAAAGGGTACATAGCAGGTTTTGAAATAAGACCAAATGGAAATTCTAGGAGCAAAACATGGAGTGACTAAAATAAAGAGCTCACGTGGATATAACGACACGCTTATTGAAGAGAGACAGTGTCCTGGAAGGTGGGTGAGGAGGCAGCCTGTCCTGAGTGTGATGAAGAGTGGGTGAGAGACGGGGGTGGGGGACGAAATTTGGAAAGATTGGCTGGCCTCCTCGGGGGAGAGAGAGCTGGTGTGACAGACAGCGTGTGAAGATTCGTGAAGCTCACCGAACCTCAGATGCAGAGGCCACAGTTACAGTAAATAATGAACTCTACATCCAGAGACACCGATGTGAGAATGCTGAGCCTGCGACAGGAAATGTTTGAAGTTGTCAGAGGGGGGCGGAAGATGGGCCCTTCTCCCAGGAGCCATGCGGCCCGGCTTGTCGGAGGGCCGAGGAGCAGCGGGGCAGGGGCTGCTATCAGCGTGCTGGAAGGGGCAGCCTCCAGCAGCCTGCATCTAGCTGCCGGCTCCATGAGAACGAAGCTAAAAGAGGCCTTTCCAGATGAAAACGGAGAGTTTCCACCAGGAAGCTTGTGCTAATGGAGAGTAAATGACCTGCTTCAGGGCAGAAGCAGACAGTCCCGGACGCTGACAGAGGAGGACCGTGGTGGGCATGTGGGCGGTGCACGGGCCGCTGGGGGTGTTAGATGTGCACGGGGCGTGGCGTCCTTGGCGACAGACAGCTGGAGGCGGGAGGCATGGACAGGGTCTGGCGCCAGGGCAGTGTCCGTGTGAGACCTGGTCCACGACGGAACCGGCGGCCACAGCCTCATGTGCAGCTTCCCTGTCGAAGCCTGAAGGCCGCCTCTGGTCTCCACCGGGCAGCCCTGGACCCCTTGTGGGCAGGTGGCTCCCCTGCCCTGGCTCCCCGGCTGGCCTGGGAACTCAAGAGCAGCGGTCAGGCTGCTTGTGGATGCTGGTGGGCCTGCCCTCGGTCCTGGGGCCTCTGGAGACGGCCACTATCCTGTCGGGGGTCAGGTGTGTCGTCTTGGTGCTGAGCTTCAGGGGACGTGTTCACGTGCGCATTCACTGCTGGTTGCTCACTTGTCCCAGGTGCTGGGGTAGAAAGACGAATGAAAGGAGTTTCTGTAAGGAATGTATGTTTTTACAGGTGTAAAGAGACTTGGAAAAAACATCTGTTTTCATCGAGGGAGTGTGAGTGTGTGTGTCGTGGGCTCATTCATCCGTCCTCCTGCTTGGGGGCCTTCGCAGCTTCGACACGTGCCATCCTTTTGCCTGTGTGCTTTCGTCTTTCGCTCTTTTCTTTTTTTTTTCTGGGAGATTCTGACACAGTAATTTTTTTAAAATTGGCTTTCTGAGATACAACTTAATCAGTTGAGTGTGCACTGTGGGTTTTAGCAAATGCAAGTATTCGTGCAGCCACCCCCACAGCCAAGGTGGAGAGCATCCCCTGGGAATGTCCCCTTGTATCTCTGGCACCTCGGCCCTCCTCGCCTGGCAGCGCAGACCTGCCCTCGGTCAGCGCAGTCCTGCTGCTCTTCCTGCGGCGGAGGCCCCCGTGTCTGCTCACTGATTTCGTGTGTGCCTTTGCGGTCTGCCCGTGTCTTGGCAGGCTGAGTGTGGTGCTGGCTCCCTGTGGGCGTGGTGTAGAGCTGCCGTGAGTCCTGCGTGCGGGGCTGGTGTAGACATGCGGTGTCCTTCCCTTCAGGAAGGTGCCTGAGGGTGGAGCCACTGGCTTGGGTGACGGCTGCGTGTTTGGCCTTTTAAGAACCTGTCCCGCGTTTTCTGGAGCGGCTGCCCCGTTTTGTGCCCACTCAGCCGAGTGTGAGTCCCCGGCTCCGCCGTATTCTTGCCAGCACATGGTACGGCTGACAAGCCTTGGCTCTCCCGGTGGGTGTGCAGTGGCCCTACGTGGTTGTAGGGCCTGTGGGGTCCTGGGAGGAAGTGCTGCTGCCTCAGTCCTGCAGCCGCTTGCAGCCCGGGCCATGCAGGCTGGGCTCGGGGACCATGGGGCTCCCTCTTCGTCCACGCTTGGCATGTTGCTGTTCCCCCTCTCTGAACGTAGGCGGGTACTCACTGAGGGTTAGGGCTGGTGCTGAACGTGTCTCTGTGAGAGAAGGGTGAAAAAGGATCCCAGGTGGAAGTCCTATAGGAGGATGCGGTCACCAGGGCTCAGACGCCGTTCCCTGGAGACACTGGTTCTTGCCCTGTGTTGCGGCAGCACCAGGGCCAAGACTCCTGACTGTTCTGGCACCGTGACCCTGCCCTTCCTGCGCGCTCTGCCTCTAGTGCGTCTGCGCATCTCTGCATGCCTCACGCAGCCTGGCGCTGTGGGGGCCGGAGCCGCTCTCCAGGGGTGAGAGGGGGGCAGTACTTCTGGCTGCTCATCAGAGGAGGCTTCCAGAGGTGATGGAGAGCAGGCTTGTTCTTGAGGGGCGGCAAGGTTGGGGGGTAAGGCGGGTTGCCTTGGCCCCGTGCCCTCATCTCAGATGCTCTCCTGCGGGGACGGGGCAGGGGTCCCGTCGGGAAGCAGTGAGCCAGCTCCTCCGGGGCAGGTCCCTGGGAAGAGCAGGACAGGCCTTCTCTGACTTGACGTTGTTTGGTTGTTGAGTAGAATGCCAGTTTGCTGCTGAGAAGGACGGCGGTTTCAGAGCTCCCTGAGTAAGGTGTCCAGCTGGCCGGCTGACTTGCGATCCACTGTCAGCTCAGGTGTCTTGGGGGGTCTTTCTCCTCAGTGCCCTTTGAGTTTGGCCAGGGATTGTCCCGGGACACAGGTGATGACTCGCCCTCGCGGCGAGGGCTGTGGCTGCTCTCACCTTCCTGGCTCCCATGTCCTGCTTGGCCCTCGACCCTGTGGTCAGGGTCAGTGCAGTGCCTCACTCGAGGTGGCCGTGCTTCCTGCTGTTACCTCTGCAGGCTCCATGGGGATGCAGCGCACATCTTGGGTGAAAGGAGAACCTCTGCTTTTAAAGCGGCACTGTCTGTGCTGAAAGCGACCTGTCATGAACCTGCCTTGCCATGTCTCCCGGGAGAGGCCGAGTCTCGCTGCCATCAGGGTGGGGAAGAAGCCCTTCTGATGGTTTTGTGTGACTTCGGGTGGGTGATTTCTCCTAACGCTGGGTGAAGCGAGAGGTTATTTAGAGTGTGTTCTCCTGCCTAAATGAATAAACACATCTGAAAGGTTAAGCTGCTGGAAGTTAGGGTGACGCTGGCGGGGCTGATGCCCTGGCTGTGCTGGGGGGCTGTATTCTTGTTGCCTGCCTGGGGGGCTGGCTTGGGGTCTGCGAGGGTCCCAGACGCGTGGCTTTCCCGTGCCGACCAGCTCAGCAGCGCTGGGCACAAGCCTCACAGTGCGGCGGCCTGGCCAGCCTCCTGGAGGTGTGCCCGGGCATCCTATTCCTGCGCTGCCTCTTCCCACAGGTGACAAAGCCCTGGACGGCTACAGCAAGAAGAAGTATGTGTGCAAGCTGCTGTTCATCTTCCTGCTGGGCCACGACATCGACTTCGGGCACATGGAGGCCGTGAACCTGCTCAGCTCCAACAGATACACCGAGAAGCAGATTGTGAGTGCGAGGCTTGGTGCTGCTTCTCCCCGGGGCCCCTGGCACTTTGCTCTTGCTCTGCACCTCCGTCTGTCTGGGGATTGCCTTGCTTCAGGTGGGAGTTGACGGGAAGGCGCCGTTTCCCGGGGGCCCACCTCAGAGGGTGGGCGGGCCCTCGCCTCCATGCCTGCGCAGTGCAGCCCCTCCCACCACCCCGTTCCTGATCCGGCACCATGTGCGTGTGCTTTAAGAGCGGAGGGCAGGTGTCTGCGCCTCACCCCAGCTCCAGGGCCTTCCAAGGTGAGTGCAGGTGTCTAGGCCTTGAGGGCCCCCAGGCTTTGTACCTCTGGCCCTGTATCTGCTTGGAGTAACAGTATTTGTGTTTTTTCAGGTGTTACAGAGGAATATTTTCCTCTTATTTGTTCAAAAAACTTAACTTACAGAAAGTGAAAAAATAACCTCAATGCCCCAGGAATTTTGTTAAGTATTGGTGTTTACTCACCAAGAAATGAGCGTCCCAAGTGCTAGTGGTAAAGAGTGGGTGCTAGTGGTAAAGCTTCTGCCTACCAGTGCAGGAGACGTGGGCTCGATTCCTGGGTTGGGAAGATCCTCTGGCGTAGGAAATGGCAACCAGTTCTAGTATTCTTGCCTGGGAAATCCCATGGACAGAGGAGCCTGGCAGTCTGCTGTCTGTGGGACTGCTGAGTCAAACACGACTGAGCAACTAAGCGCATGTGTGGGTGCATACACACAGACACACTCACACACACACTCACACACAGACACCCACCTACCCCCACAGACACACACACCCCCCCCCACACACAGACACACAGATACACACACACCCGCATAGACATACACACACACCCCTTCACACACACCCCCTCACACACAGACCCACACACAGACACACAGATACACACACACACACACTCACACACAGACACCCACCTACCCCCACAGACACACACACCCCCCACACAGACACACAGACACACACAAACCCGCATAGACATACACACACACCCCCTCACACACAGACCCACACACAGATACACACACACACACACACTCACACACGTACCCTCACAGACACACACTCACACACAGACACCCACCCACACTCACACATACATACACACACTCACAGACACACACACACACACTTACAGACACCCACACTCACTCACACACACTCACACACGTACCCTCATAGACACACAGACACACACCCACACTCAGACACACACACACACCCCCTCACAGACATACACACACCCACACCCACAGACACACATTCACACAGACACACCCACAGACACACACACACTCCTGCACACACACACACACACACACACCCCACACACACCTACAGACACACTCACACACAGACACCCACCTACCCCCACAGACACACACACACACCCCCCCACACAGACACACAGATACACACACACCCGCATAGACATACACACACACACCCCTTCACACACACAGACCCACACACAGACACACTCAAACCCACACTCACACACAGACACCCACCTACCCCCACAGACACACCCCCCCCACACACAGACACACAGATACACACACACCCACATAGACATACACACACACCCCTTCAAACACACCCCCTCACACACAGACCCACACACAGACACACAGATACACACACTCACACACGTACCCTCACAGACACACACACTCACACACAGACACCCACACCCACAGACACTCACACACACACACACCCACACTCACACATACGTACACACACTCACAGACATACACACACACACAGACACCCACACTCACACACACACTCACACACTTACCCTCCTAGACACACAGACACACACCCACACTCAGACACACACACACACCCCCTCACATACACACACCCACACCCACAGACACACATTCACACAGACACACCCACAGACACACACACACTCCTGCACACAGACACACACCCCCACACACACCTACAGACACACAGACACACACACCCACACCTGCACACACACACACACCCTCACACACAGATACCCACAGACACCCACACACACACACACACCCCTTCAGATACATACCGACACACCCACACACACACTGACACTCACACACCCACACACACACTCCTGCACACACCCACACACACACTCCTGCACACACCCACACACACCCACCCACAGACACCCACACACACCCCTGCACACACCCACACACCCCACCCACACCCAGACACACACACACACTCCTGCACACACCCACACACACACAGACACACACACACACCCTCACCAACACCCACCCACCCACACACACCCACAGACACACACACACGCGCGCGCACACACACATACCCTCACAGACACCCACAGACACACACACACACTCCCACCGAGAAATTACTGAGTGCCTTCCATAGACCCAGCAGTGTGCTGGGGGCTGTGGGGACACTGACCGTAGCAGGGGTGGACTTGGCTCTCCTCCGGGGCGAGGCCATCAGACAGCCTCCTGCAGAGAGTGGAGCTGTGGCCGATGGGAACTGAGGCGGGTGGAGTCCTCTGGACTCTGAGCAGGGGGCAGCTAGTAGGCAGGGCTCTGAGGGGAGGAGGACCTGAACTGAGGCTGAGGACAAGAGGGGCGTGGGGGCCGTGGGGACAGACAGGGCACCCATGCGGTCAGCCCATGTGTGGGAGGGCAGGCTGGCCAGAACCCAGAGCGGGAGGCGAGCTCCTGAGACCGTCGGGGCTGAGAGGCTGCTGTCCCTGTATGGGGAGGGTGTGGACTGTGGGAATGGCAGGAGGCTGGGGTTTGGCCCGGTGGTGAGTGGACACTGGGGCTCTGAGACAGCTGAGAGAGGGAAGGTGGCCTGCAGTGTTCCCATCACAGCTGAGGCAGGCCCTTCCATCCTGTTCAGGTCCCCGTGGATGAGTGACTGGGGTGGGGGTGGGGCTCCAAGGTGTCTGATACCCGTGGGGACGGTGCCTCTCAGGTTTGTCCTGCAGAACTGTCCGACGGGGGGGATCTGGGGACGAGACTTGTGTTCTCGGGAGAAGGCAGGTGGGTCCTCTGTGGCCTGATCGCAGCAGTGCGCTGAGCAGACAGGGGTGGGGCTGGGGGCTGGCCGAGTGTGTCCAGCGGTGGTCTCTTTCCTCTCTGGAACCCAGGGCTATCTCTTCATCTCTGTGCTGGTGAACTCCAACAGTGAGCTCATCCGCCTGATCAACAACGCCATCAAGAACGACCTTGCCAGCCGCAACCCCACCTTCATGGGCCTGGCCCTGCACTGCATTGCCAACGTGGGCAGCCGGGAGATGGCCGAGGCGTTTGCGGGGGAGATTCCCAAAATCCTCGTTGCTGGGTATGTGTCTGGTGGCCTGCTGAGGGCACAGTCACCTCCTGCGTGTGTAAGTCAAGTGTGTGAGTCCTGAAGGCTCCATGGGCCTCTTAGCCTCCCGTCTCGGTCACAGCCATGGGCGGAGGTGGGTCGGGATTGCAGGCTTTGTTGTCAGGAGGTCCATACGGGCCTCTGTCCTTGGGGCCCAGAGCCTCACTCTGCCTCCTCTCGGTCCCCACGGGCTGAGGTGGGCCCAAGCTTGATTGCGTGGAGAGCCTGAAGCAGCCTTTTCCTGTGTGTTCCTCCAGCCCCCTCACAGGTGCGCCTCTGTCCCCTGGGGGCCCCAGGGTGTTGTCCGTGGACTCCGTCCCCCGGGGGCCCCGGGGTGTTGTCCGTGGACTCCGTCCCCCAGGGGCCCCGGGGTGTTGTCCATGGGCTTTGTTCCCCGGGGGCTCTGGGGTGTTGTCCGTGGGCTCTGTCCCCTGGGGGCCCTGGGGTGTTGTCCATGGGCTCTGGGCCATGCTTGTCTCACGGCTGCTCATCTTTCAGAGACACCATGGACAGCGTGAAGCAGAGCGCCGCCCTGTGCCTGCTGCGTTTGTACAGGACGTCCCCGGACCTCGTCCCCATGGGTGACTGGACGTCTCGCGTGGTGCACCTCCTCAATGACCAGCATCTGGTAGGTGCCTCTGGGTCACGTCCACCTTCTCCTGCAGGGCAGCCTCTTTCGGGCCAGGGCCACATGAGCAGCCTTGTATGACTTCCAGGACGCTGAGGGGGACGTCCCTGGCCCGGCCATCGAGCTGGGAGAGCCTGCAGGTAGGGCCTGGGAGCCCCTCCCCTGGGGTCAAGGCAGATGAGATAGGATCTTTGGCTCACCCTGTCCAGGCATTGGAGGGTCTCCTGCTTGGTAGGTGCAGAGACAAACAACACAGTCTAGCATGTTGTAGAAATGCTACGTCCACAGAGGGCTGCAGAGACGTGTCTGTCTGCACCCCATTTCGGGCTGCTGTGGGGCTGTCCTGTGGACCTGGGGGCTCTGGCACGCAGCCCGCCTAATCCACATGGCTGGACATGAGCCAGGCCCGAGCCTGCTCCGCATCGTTGGCCAGGGCAGCGAGATGTGGAGTGAAGCGGTGTCTGGATTGGCCGTGAGTCACAGGCCCTTGTCCATGCTGACGCTGGGAGGCGGGGTCAGGTAGGAGCTCAAGCCGGACAGGTGGCTTTGTCTTGCTGGAATCATGTCCTACAAACGAGAGAGTCAAGATTCCACATGGAGTTTCCCATTGAGCCAAGAGTTGTAAGCATGTTAGCTGGTTACTCCGTGCTTTCCCAGAAGAGAAATCTGCTGGAAGGATTAGATGCGGACTACACGGTCCGCACAGGTAGACCCTCGGGGCGAGAGCTGGTGGCCATGCGGGCTAGCCTGCTGTGGGACAGCCTGCCAGCGTCGCTCCATGTCCACACACTCAGGGGGGAAATCGGGTCTGCACAGGTGACCTCTCCTTGGGGTAGGGGTGTCTCAGCCAGGAGGCCCCGCTCCTTGGACGTCTGTGCCCAGCTGTCTGTTTACTTTCTGTGTTTTCACGTGCGTGGCTCTGTGGCTGGGGCGCGGCTTGGCCCTGTGTGGTGCTAGGCCGCAGGAGCCCCGCGGCGGTTGGCAGGGGTGCTGCGTCGCAGCCTAAGGTGAACTGGCACCTGTCTGCTGTGGGTGTGGCTTCTGTCACACACCTCCTAGCTTTGCCACCAAAGGCCTGGGGTTGGCTTCTTTGCTCTCAAGGTCAGGGATCCCCAGGAAGAGAGTCCCTCGTCCACCCAGAAGCAGCAAGCAAGCCCTTCTGAGAGCAGCAGGGGAGGCGGGGGGCTGTGATACGCAGAAAGCTCCGCATCCAGCCAGGCCCCTCCTGAGTCCGGAGTGGCCCAGGCGTCACCTGGAAGGAGGGGGAGGAGGCAGCCTGGGCGTAGGGGCCCCCAGCCCTCTCCTCACACCCTCTTCCTGCACAGACCCCTGCAAGCGTGCAGGGAATGTGGGATACCACACTGGGCAGCTGACCAGCTTCCTTGACCTCACTGTGGGGTCGGGTGTCATCCAGGCCTGGTGGAGCTCCCCAGTCAGCGGGCAGAGACATGGCTTGGACCACATTTGAAAATGGGGAAGAATGGGCTTTGCTGTTTTCCACGATCTCAGATTTGGGTTGTAAAGATTCATGTGAGTCTGAACGTAGCGTGTCCATCCCTCTGCGGTCCACACGGAATGACCTAGGTCAGGGGCAGCAAGGGGGTGGGCGGGTGGACGCTGGGGCCTGGGGCTGCTGCCCCGCGCCACCTCGCTGAAGCACGGCTCTGGGCTGAAGCCTGCTGGGTCTCCAGGTTTGCAGAGAGAAGGGTAAGCAAGGCACCCGGTGTGTGCACCTCGCTTTCTCGAAACATCGAGGGCTGATGGGAGTGGCCCCGCGGTGGCGTCGAGGTGTCCGGTTGTTGGTCTGAGTTGTTTACAAGATGAGTTTAAGACGAGAGGCAGGTCCTCTGGCAGGCCTCTGAACGTGTGTGTGTCCCCTCAGGGTGTGGTAACTGCCGCCACCAGCCTCATCACCACCTTGGCGCAGAAGAACCCAGAAGAGTTCAAGACCTCTGTGTCTCTGGCCGTCTCCAGGTTAAGCAGAGTAAGTCTGCGGAGGGGAAGGGCGCTCACGGTGGGTTTGGTCTTTGTCACTTTATGTACCTGACGTGTGTCCTGTTCAGTAGGCACGACCTTTGGGCAGTCTGTGATTCGGCAGTGCATGTGGGTCTCGGTTAGTGACGGGTGGGCTTTTCTCTGACCCCGTGTCAGAAGTGTCCTGTTGGCGCAGCGAATGTGCAGGGCAGAGCCCCGCCCCCAGCGGCCGCTGCGTGCCTATGTGGTGCCCCCTGCTAACGAGGGCACGTAGCACCAGTCGCTCTGTGACTGGCTCACTCTGATCATCAGGGTCGTGAAGTCATGGAGTCGTTTCTGCTGCTGATGGTTGACGTGTGTTGCTGGGCAATGTGTTCACCTGTCTGTGCCTTGCCTTGCCCAGCGCTCAGCTGTCCCCTTGGGAGGCGCTGGGTCCTTGGCCGCCTCCCTGGCCCGCAGCCTCTTGGCCTTAGCCCTTCTGGGCACTTGGTCCTGTTGCTTTCTCACCTAGTCTGCATTTTCTTGATCACCCATGAGCTGGGGCAGCTTGGCGTGTTTACTGGCTTTTAAAAAAACTTTTTCTCAAGATAACGTCCTTTTATTTATTTTGGCCACACCGTGCAGTAAGTGGGATCTTAGTTCCCTGACCAGGGGTTGAACCTGTGTCCCCTGCTTTGGGACCATGGCATCCCAGCTGGACCACCAGGGAAATCCCTTTATTGGCATTTTGAATACCTTCTTTTGTGAAGAGCCTGTTCAGTTTTTCACCCATTTTTCCATGATGTCATCTCTTTTGTTGCTGTAAAAACCTCTTTATTTCTTTGGCAGTACCTCTTGGCATGGAGAAGGAAATGGCAACCCACTGCAGTATTCTTACCTGGGAAACCCCATGATCAGTGGAGCCTGGCGGGCTACAGTCCATTGGGTCCCAAGAGTCAGACATAGCAACTGAACCACCTTCTGGCATGTGGGATCTTAGTTCCCTGACCAGGGTTGAACCCACTCCCTCTGCAGTGGAAGTGTGGACTGCCACAGAAACCTCCTCTTTGTATTTTTAGATATGAACACTTTGTTGGTTAGATTGGGTTAAACCAAACAAAATTTCCAACATTTACCCATTATTGATCTACAAAAATGCCAGCAACTTTATGTGGTTCAGCCCACTCTGTTTAAAAATCTCGTCCTGCTCTGCACCTTGCCACCTCACACACTGGTGAAGTCTTCTGTGATCAGAAACCCCACGTTTTAATATAATCCGGTTTCCTGATCCCTTCCTCTGGGGTTAATGCCTCCGTGTCCCCAAACGTGTGGTCTGCCGCTCTTCTGAGGGCTCATTGTAGGTTGACAGTCCAGCTGAGCCGGCGTCACTGTGCGCTGAAGCTTTTTCTTGAGTCACGTCGTTGTCCCAGCACCGCTGTGAAGGCGCCTCCCTCCGCCCAGACCCTGTTTTTAAACTAAAGTAACCTGCCCTCATGCAGACGCCCGCTGCTGTGTCTGTGCATCTTGGCGCCAGCAACGTGACTTTGGGTTAATTTGATGTCCAGTGGCACCAGTGTCCCCCCGCCCCCAGAGTCCTACTGGGGCTACCTTTATCTGTAGGTCAGTTTCAGGAGAATTCACATCTTTGCAGTATTAAGGTTTTGAGTCTATGGCCATGGTATATCTCTCCATTTACTTAGTCTTTAGTTTCTGTCAAATATGTTTCATAAGTTTTCAAGTAGAGGTTCTTTTTTGTTTAATCTGTCTTTATATACTTTTATTTTAAAAACAGTCTTCTCAGTGATACCTTAAAAACGTTATCATAAACGTCTGTGCTGGTTTGCGCAGGTGGACTTTGAATGCTGCTCTTGATGTTGGCAACTTTGCCAAACTCACTTATCAGACCTGGCAGTTTGTATGTAGATTGCTTTGGGTCTTCTTTGTATTCCGTCACGTGTTCTGTGGACAATGACAGCTTTTTTCCTTTCCCAGTCCATATTCGTTTGTACTTTCTGCTTTACTGCTCCAATTCGGACCTTCCCTGCAGTGTTGAATGTGAAAGGTGATTGGTGTGTTTTTCTACATTGAAGGGAAGCCTTTGATGTTTTGCTGTTAAGTATGACATTGGCAGGTTTTGTCCATGTCCTTGTCCTTTGCCACATTAAGGAAATTCCATTTTATATCCTTCCTAACAATTTTATTATTAATTAGCTGATGAAGCCATGTGAACTTAGGGTTTTTTTTGTGGGGCAACTGCTAATTATGATTTCAATTTATTAAGTAATGAGGCTTCAGATTTTCTTTTATCAGTTTTGTTAAGTGGGCGTTTCTTAATCGTTTGCTAACTTATATAAATGTTCAGGTGTATTGGTAGAAAGTTACTCTGTTGGCCCTGCGCTGTGGTCTCCCTTCTTCATTTTGTTGTTGGATATTTGCCCTTTTGTTTTGCTTGATTTCTCTCATCAAGTATGTAAGAATTTCTTTTGACTTTGTTGGTCCTGTTTTGATTTTTGTACCTTATTACTCTCTGCTTGTATCTTTGTTTTCTTTTCTCTACTATCTTTGGGCTAATTTGCTAGTCTCTTCCAAACCCTTGAGATTAATTCTTCAATACTTTTGTTTTGTATTTGTTTCAACTATGTGCATTTAATGGTCTAAGTTTAACTCTGAGCCTGGTTTAGCTGCCTGAGGGGCATTGGAAAGGCAGCCTTGGGTGGCCGGCTGTGTCCCCGTGGTGGCGTGCTCTGGTGTGGTTGGTCCACTCCGTGTGTCTGCACCCCTGGCTGCCTCTGCTGGGCTCCCCACTGCTCTGCATGGCCTGGACTCACCCGTTTCAGGCGACCTGGTGTCACAGCCGAGCTTTGTGAGGGGAGCCGCAGTGAGCCCCAGCCATGGGGTGTGGGGAGGCGCAGGCTGTGGTTTGCGGGTGTGTGCTGTCTCCGCATGCGAGGGGGTGCGGGTGTGTCATCTGCCTAGACCCCGTGGTGTGAGTGGAGGCTGTGTGCTCTAGGCCTGCCTGAGGACGGTGGGGCGTGAGGCCAGGCTCTGGAGACCTGGGTCCTGAGTGCTGCCTGCCCGCAGGCCCGTGTCCCTCGGGGCGGGGTGTCCCTGTGCAGTGGCTCCTCTGGGCCTGGGGGGCTGTGCTCCTGTCCCTCAGACCTGCACAAGCCTGTCTGTTCTCAGCGCCGGCCAGCCCCCCATCTCCCTGTGCTCCCTCGCAGATCGTGACGTCGGCCTCCACAGACCTTCAGGATTACACCTACTACTTTGTCCCGGCCCCCTGGCTGTCCGTCAAGCTGCTGCGGCTCCTGCAGTGCTACCCGCCCCCAGGTAACAGCCGAGCGCGCAGCCTGGGGGAGGCCTTCTGCAGCCTTGAGTGTGAAGTCTCGTGTTGAGCGACCGAGCATGCATGCACACGCACCCTTGTTGACAAGCCACCTCTCGCTCTCCTGGCACCGGCACCGGCTCCCTGGGTCTCTCTGCTGCTCTCACAGCTCTGGGCTTTCCCGGAGCAGCTAGTCGAGGACACTCACTTCGTTACGACTGCGATGAGCTCTGCTTCTGTGTATTATGTACATGTAGATTATGTTCATGTATATTATGTACATGTCAGATCCCTGTGGATTTTTGAAACAGTCTTAAAATAATTCTTGAAACTGGTTGAAACTTCATATCCAAAATTGTTAAAAGTTTGTGTCAAAGATATTGTTATGTTTGTTTTATTCTAAAATATGGCAAGTAACTAGAATCACTGGTTTAACAATGCTCATGAGAATTCCTGTTCCACACTTCCCAATTGCCTTCTACAAAGATGGCTTGTAACCTTCTCACTTCAGTCTTCATTTGCTTTTGTACAGCGTACGTCTGTTAAATTCAAGTCACTTCGTGTCCTGAGTGTTTTTTATACTAAAGTGTGAGCTGCTTATCCTGAAGCAGAGCTGAGCAGGCGCGGGGCCCCATGAGGCCTCACCTCTCCCGCTGGTGGCCCTCCCCAGCAGCAGGGCAGTAGTTCTCTTGGTGGAACTGGCCGCTGCCTTCTTACTCCCAGACTGGGGCGACTCGGAGCCCCTGGGGGTGAATCGCACTGTTGCCTCCTCCTTTCAGCCCTGCCTCCGCCCCGGGCGGCTTCAGGGACCCTGCCATCCCCCTGCCCAGGTGCCTGGGGGCCCGCCTCCCCTGAGTGGTGGTTAAGCAGGTGCTTTAGATGCAGTATGATGGTTGTTTCTGGAGTTCTGATATTTTTATTACTTTCTTGGTCTGGTTTGACTAGAATTTAAAAATTTTCCTTGTTTTTTTGGTTGCTCTTCATGTATTTTCTCTGTTTCTTTTGGTAATAGCAGTTAGTGGGGAAAAAACCTTTCATTCCCCCCCACCCCCTGCCAAACTTTCATATTAGGTGTTTTGTCCATGTCTCTGAGGTTTTATTTTCCTCAACTTATATAATCTATATTTCAGCAAACACTTGTGTCTGTTACTTGTGTTAAAACGTTCACATAGTCACCCTGGCCATCAAATCCTCTTACTTAATCAGCCTCAGTGTTTGAGTCAGGATCCTCGCCTTCTGTCGTCAAGTGTGAGGCGAGGGTTACCTTACAGGGCTGGGGCAGGGCGAGCCACGGGGAGCTGGCCAATGGCTGTCTGTTTTGCCCAGAAGATCCTGCAGTACGTGGCCGCCTGACCGAGTGCCTGGAGGCGATTCTCAACAAAGCCCAGGAGCCGCCTAAGTCCAAGAAGGTGCAGCACTCCAACGCCAAGAACGCTGTGCTCTTCGAGGCCATCAGCCTGGTCATCCACCACGACAGGTGGGCCAGCCCGTGCTCTGCCTCAGCCCTCTGCACACAGCTGGGTGCTGTGGTCTCGCCTCCCCAGGGGGCTCCCCCTCCTCCTGGGCGACCCACCTGGCCGGCCGCTCCCAGGGCCACCCAGGAATGCGGCGTGAGTGTGTGTCCCGCGGGCTGCGTCGGTCGAGGTTATGTGTGGAAGACGCGTGTGAGGAAGGCATGTGGAAGCCATGTGGGGTGGGGTAGGGGTGCTTCCAGGTCCCAACAAGTGCACCCACCTGAGTGCCGTGCTTCCACAGGACTGGGCGCTGTTAAACAAGCTCCCCCACTGGGGAGTTTTCCAGTCTTGGCTATGTCTGAAGGGCACAGACGTCATGAGGACAGAGTGAAAAGCAATCAAAGACCCCCTCGCCCCCCCAGGGTGCATGGAGCTAGTGCTTGAACACTGGTGACCTCTGTGTACCATCTCCACCTGCGTTTACCTTCTCCAGTCGGGGCTTTCATCCTCCTGTCGACCAGGCAGGCTCTCTGGCTGAGCATGTCACCCTCTGGTCAAGGCATGATGAAAACTGGGGTCCCCTGGCCAGTTTGGTGTGGAGGCTCAAGTTCCTGGCTGCCCCTGGCTGTCTGGACCCCCGTGGATGCTCTGGGGGTCCTTGTATGGTACTAACCAAAGTGAGCGTCAGGCCTTGTGTCCTGGGAGGCCGTGGTGGCTATGACGGCGGCCCCGGCCGAGCGGGGGACCCCTGCCCACCTGCCTCTCCCGTCCGTGCAGCGAGCCGAACCTGCTGGTCCGAGCCTGTAACCAGCTGGGCCAGTTCCTGCAGCACCGGGAGACCAACCTGCGCTACCTGGCCCTGGAGAGCATGTGCACACTGGCCAGCTCCGAGTTCTCCCACGAGGCCGTGAAGACGCACATTGAGACGGTCATCAATGCCCTGAAGGCAAGCGCACTCTGTTCTGTGTCTTTCAGGCTGGGTGGGAGCTACTGGTGGTTCTGGGGTCCCGCATGCTCAGCTCAGGGCGGTCTGCTCAGATGCGTGGGTCCCTGGGTGGCTCTGCTCTCTGCCCCCCAGAGACTATGCCCACATAGGCCGCTCCCGCTGGGTCTGGCACCTGAGCAGACCTGTAATAAAAGTTGAGATCAGTGAAACTGTTCTTTTTGGTGGAAGGATAAGATAATTTGTCCATGTCTGCAAGAAAACTCCCTCTTTGCCAAAGAATATTTGCTTTCCCAGGGAATTCAAATTCCAGAGCAGGATATTCTGCTTTTATGAGGGTTTGTTCCTCAGGGTCTGACACAGCTGGTCATGCATGTTAGAAAACTGAAGGCAGCGCGTCCCTCGGGGCGCGGCGCGGCGCGCCCCGCCGCGCGTCGGGACCGGGGTCCGGTGCGGAGAGCCCTTCGTCCCGGGACACAGGGCGCGGCCGGAAAGGCGGCTGCCCCCTCGCCCGTCACACACCGCACGTTCGTGGGGAACCTGGTGCTAAACCATTCGTAAACGACCTGCTTCTGGGTCGGGGTTTCGTACGTAGCAGAGCAGCTCCCTCGCTGCAATCTATTGAAAGTCAGCCCTCGACACAAGGGTTTGTAAAAAAAAAAAAAAGAAAACTGAAGGCAGGCAGGGAAGTTACAAACCACTGCCCGGGTCCTGCGCTAGAGCTGAGAATAGGTCTGACCCTGTTCCTTTGGGTTTACGTGTACTTAATAGACATTTTTGGTGTGAGTTTTGAATGTGAGGGCTTACAAAGGTTTGGAATTTGCTTTCTGGTGTTTTGAATTCCTCCTGGGTGGTTGTGGCATCTCTTCCAGGCACCGCCTGGATCAGAAAGACGCCCTTGTGCGCGGTGGCGGGCTCTCGGCAGCACCTCTCCTCCTTACGGTGCCGTGGAGCATCTGCGCCCTCATTTCTCAGGGTCTGGGGTGGGGCCGGGAGTCGGCACGGTGACAGGCTCCCAGGTGACACAGAAGGGGCCAGTCTGTGAGCACACAGTGGGTGGCCTTTGACCCCCTCTGCCCCCAGGGACAGAGCATGAGCTGGTCTGTCTGAGAGCAGGAGCCGGGGGACAGCGGCTGACGTGTGGGGTTCGGGCTCTGCAGGACGCTGGGCTTGGGTGATGAGGGGGGAGAGCTCCAAGGGGGCGCTGGGACAAGGGAGCCCCCCACCCCAGCCCAGTGCCCCTCATGCTGCTGCCCCGTGCTTACCCCCAGACGGAGCGGGATGTGAGCGTGCGGCAGCGGGCCGTGGACCTCCTCTATGCCATGTGCGACCGCAGCAACGCCCAGCAGATTGTGGCTGAGATGCTGAGCTACCTGGAGACGGCGGACTACTCCATCCGAGAAGAGATTGTGAGTCTTGCGGCCTCTGTCATCAGGGCCTCTGCGCTTGTATCTGAGCTGGAGTGTTTCTTCACAGGGTCTGCTACAGGCTGGATGAGCGTGCTGTGCTTCGTTCAGCTTTTTTATCAGTGTTTTCAGTAGAGCTCCAGTTTTTTGAAGTCACTCTGCGGAGGCCCTGATCCTAACTCTTCCCCCTCCCCTGCAGAGGCCTCAGATGCAGGGGGCTTAGGACGGAGGGAGAGGGTTAGGGGCATACAGGCACTTGGGCCAGCGTGGCGGTGAGGGGCCTCCAGTGTCCAGCTTTAGGGGCAGCTCTGGGCTTGAAGGACTTGAAGCCGAGGGCAGTGACAAGGCAGGTGTTCCAGGATGACCTCTGGGGTCGTTATGGAGGGTCGATGTGGAGGCCAGAGAAGGTACAGAGCAGGTGGACAGGGTGCTGGGGCGTGGTTGCGAGTTCAGCCCAGGGGCAAGGTTGGCGTGAGGGCTGCCGCCGCCAGAGGGCTGGGCTCTAGGTCCCCTGTGGATGCTGCCCAGGGCGGCTCCATGCAAGCGGAGGCTGTGCCTGGGGAGGCAAGGGGCCTGCTTCTTCCCACAGCCCGGAGCAGGCACCCCGGGCAGCAGAGAATAGGGAACAAGTGAGTAGGGCTGGTTGGAGCAGGAGCCAGTGACCTAACCGAGCACTTTTCCAGCGGGCCTTCCTACGCGTGGGCGTGGCTTCCTCGGTGTGGGCGAGACTGAGTGCAAGTGGGGTGGGCGGGTCCACTATGTGTCTTGCGGAATTCCTTCTCCCTTGTTCTGCTTCGCGTGTTCTTCTGCATCTATCCTGGAACGTTAAACTTCGGCTATTCCTTTGAGAAGCTAGGGGGTGCTCTGGCGCAGGTGCAGATCTTCCTGAGTCCCTTCCTCGGTGGCCGTGCCCTGCAGGTGCTGAAGGTGGCCATTCTGGCAGAGAAGTATGCCGTGGACTACACGTGGTACGTAGACACCATCCTGAACCTGATCCGCATTGCTGGTGACTATGTGAGTGAAGAGGTGTGGTATCGCGTCATACAGATCGTCATCAACCGGGACGATGTGCAGGGTTACGCCGCCAAGACCGTGTTTGAGGTGCGAAGGCCTCCCTGCTTCCCTGCCAGCTCTGGGCCCACGTCCGCCTCCACTGCTGTTTCTGTGCCATGTCTCCTTGATTTCCACATGGCTGCCCCGGGCGAGGTGCTCTTGGTCGGTCAGAGGCTGCCTGGGCAAGGTGCCCAGGGCAGGGGGCTCCGGCTGGCCTCCATGTGCCCCTGCCTCTGTCCAGGGTCTGAACTGTAATTTTTGGGAGCAGCTCTTGATGAAGGGGTGGGATCGACCATGGACCTGTTCCCGGGGCTTCCCTGCTACTGACCCCTCTGCTGACGTGGCCCGGAGGGGGCACAGGGTGGGCAGTGTGGTTGGAAAGGGGGTGGAGGGCTCAGGAGGCTCTGGGGACTGTGGCAGCGCGGGCTCCTGGGGAGGCCCCTGGGCCGCACTCCTGGCCCTTCACGCAGCTCCACCGCTTTCTCCGGAGGCCGAGCCTGCACCGCCTCCACCTGAGCGTGAGCTCTGGGGCGCTGGGTTCATGGGCTGCTCCTCCACAGGCTCTGCAGGCCCCGGCGTGCCACGAGAACCTGGTCAAAGTTGGCGGCTACATCCTTGGGGAGTTTGGGAACTTGATAGCAGGAGACCCGAGGTCCAGGTGAGTCACCCGGGGGCCAGAGCCCTGGGTCCAGGTGCTAGTCCTGTGCCCCAGCTCTCGCCTGACAGCCTGGTTGAGGCCAGCTGATATCGTGAAGTCCTGGGACAGCCCAGAGTGAGGGCACGTCCATTCAGGACAACGGTGCAGATCATGGGGATTCTGAGGGAAAGGAGGTGTGGCCGGGGGCCGACGCTCTTTCGGGGGAGCCTGTACTTGGCCTGTAGCTGGACACGTGCAGGTCCTGGCGAGGGTGGGGCTCCTCATTGCTCCCTGCTCAGTCATCCCTGGGGCTCAGGCAGGGCAGGCCCGGTGCAGCGTGAGACAGAGAGGTGACTCTGTGCCCCATGTGCCCCCTACACCCCACAGCCCCCTGACCCAGTTCCACCTTCTGCACTCCAAGTTCCACCTGTGCAGCGTGCCCACCAGGGCGCTTCTCCTGTCCACCTACATCAAGTTCGTGAACCTCTTCCCGGAGGTGAAGGGCACCATCCAGGACGTGCTGCGCAGCGACAGCCAGCTGAGGAACGCTGATGTGGAGCTGCAGCAGCGCGCCGTCGAGTACCTGCGGCTCAGCACTGTTGCCAGCACCGACATCCTGGTGCGCCCCTGTCCCCGGGCCGCCCTGTCCCCCTGTCCCCCCCCATCCCCCCCGTCCCCAGTCCCCGCCGCCCCCGGGCCGCCCTGGGTGGGGGCTGGAGGTCGTGGGGCTTTGTGTTGTGCTGACCTGGGCTCCTTTCCCACCAGGCGACTGTCCTGGAGGAGATGCCCCCCTTTCCAGAGCGCGAGTCCTCCATCCTGGCCAAGCTCAAGAAGAAGAAGGGCCCGAGCACCGTGACCGACCTGGAGGAGGCCAAGCGGGAGAGGAGTGCCGATGTCAACGGGGGCCCCGAGCCCGCCCTGGCCAGCACTAGCGCCGTGGTGGGTCCCTCCCGAAGGCCCTGCCTGCCCGAGCTCCAGGGTGCCTGGTGCCGAGGTTCAAGACCCCGGATGGTGTCCTGGGTGGGCTGACCCAGACGCAGTGTCTGTCGTTAGACTGTCAGATGGTCATCTGGGGTCCACGGTCAGCTCCTATGTCTCCTCTTGGCTTTGGATTTGGAAAATGTGGTCATTCTTGCGTGACGGCTGCATGGGGGCCTCTCCTGCCTCCCTGGGCTGGTTTCCAGTGCCTCCACCTCCTGGGGTCTAGTAGTGAGCATGTTAGAGTGAGTGCCCTGTTCACACAAGTGCCCTGAGAACATGCCCTCTGATGTCTGTTGCGGACAATGCCATTTTGAGAGTTGTGTTTCCTCTCTGGTCCCCACTGGGGTGTGCTCCCGACCACCACGGGCTTTGTGGCTGCCACTTCGGGAGGCAGCCTGGAGAGCAGGCCCCACCCTGGATGCTGGTCCAGCGATGTGGCCAGCCACTCACACCTTCCGGCAGCCTCTGTGAGGATGCGCCCGAGGTAGAGGTGCCCCATGCCCATGTGTGGACAGCCTGGGACCCCGGTGGTTTGCTTGTGTATGGCTCCAGGATGCTTGTTTGTGAGCCCTGGCGCTCTACGTAGGGGGGCACTTACCTGACCCCAAGCCTGCCTTGAAGCCTGTGCTCATGCCTGGCTCTCGGCTTAGGGGCCCATCACAGTTAGGACTTTGCACCTGAGCCCTGATGCCGGCTCTGCAGAGGCACCCATGGTGGTGCTGGGGACGTGAGTTCTTGTTTGTCCCCAGGGCTCAGGTGGTCTGCTGGGGGTGGGAGAGGTGAGGCAGGAGGGCAGGGCAGGGCCGGGGTCTATCCTGAGTGGGGTTCTCGTCCTAGGGCTTCTGCCTCCAAACTCAGAGGGGAGGCCATGCCTTGAAGTGGCGCTGAGATGTCTAGGTTGCCTTTCACTTCCTTGTAGCATCAGCCAGAACCCCTTTGACTTAGGGTTGCACATCCCACCTGGAGGTGGTTTTCTTTGGGACTGTCCTGGGGGCTTGGCTCCTGTGGCCCCAGGATCCTTGTCTGTGCATCTGTGGGGGTGTCTGCAGGCTGCCTGTCCCCTGGGCTTTGGGCTGGCAGGGGAGCCCAGAGCTGCCCTCCACCCCATGGTCTGCAGCACTTTGAGCAGGTATAGCGCATACAGACTGTGCACCAGGCCAGCTCCCTGGGGAGGGTCTCCTTGCGTCCTGAGAAGAGGGCTGGGTGGTGTAGAGGAGTGGCTCCAGTGTTGCCAGGCGGAGGCCCTGCGAGGGTCTGGGACGGGAGCTGGCGTTCTGCGGGATCTCCCCACGGACCTGCCTAGCTTTTGTGTGTTCACATTTGACTTAGTGGTACAAAAGGGTTTTTCTACTTTAGAAAGCATTTGAACTTCTTCAGGAACCAGTGATAGATGTCTTGCAGCAGGTGGTGGGGTCCACAGGGGCTCAAGGCCCCCGGGAGCAGCCCCTGAACTGGTGGGCAGCCTCCCAGAAACCATAGTCACCTGGCTGGTGGACGGGGTTGCCTGTGACTTGTCCCACAGATTCCCCAGCCGCACCGAAGCTTCTGCTGATCCTTCCCCACTGGCCCTCTGGGCCCTCCCTTCTCCTGGGGATTCCAGCCTGGCCTTTTCTGCGCCTGGCGCCACCCTGCCTTGCCAGCTCGCTTCCTGCCGTGGCTGGACCTTAGTGCACTGCCTCCCGTGAGTTCTCAGGCCTCCCAGACCCACAGCCTCTCTGCACACATGTGTTCTGTGATGCTTCCTTGTCTTCATGTGGAATCCATACATGAGATCATCTGCCTCCACATGTAGTTGTCTAAGAAATGCAGTGCAGTGCTCTAGATATTAAAGGGAGATGAGTAGTGACTTGTGCTGAGGTCGTGGTTTCATCCAGGATGTCACCCAGAGCTGGACATCCTGGGGTGTGAAGTCAAGTGGGCTTCAGGAAGCATTTCTGTGAACAAAGCTAGTGGAGGTCATGGAGTTCCAGCTGAGCTGCTTTGAATCCTGAAAGATGATGCTGTTAAAGCGCTGCACTCAGTATGCCAGCAAGTTTGGAAAATTCAGCAGTGGCCATAGGACTGGAAAAGGTGAGTTTTTATTCCAGTCCCTAAGAAGCTCTGTGCCAAAGAAAGTTCAGACTGCCTCACAATTGTCATTTCAGTCCTCATTTCACATGCTAGCAAGGTAGTGTTCAAATTTCTTCAAGGTTGGCTTCAGCAGTATGTGAACCAAGCACTTCAAGATGTAGAAACTGGATTTAGAAATGGCAGAGGAACCAGAGATCAAATTGCCAACATTTGATCATTGAGAAAGTAAGGGAATTCCAGAAAAACATCTACTGCTGCATCACTGACTGCACTAAGCCTTTGTGTGGATCACAACAGACTATGGAAAATTCCTTAAGGAGATGGGAGTACCAGACGACCTTACCTGTCTTCTGAGAAACCTGTGTACAGGTCAAGAAGCAGTAGTTAGAACTGGACATGGAACAACGAACTGGTTCCAAATTGGGAAAGGCTGTATATTGTCACCTTTCGTATTTTAACTTCTATGCAGAGTACATCATGTGAAATGCTGAGCTGGTTGAATTACAAACTAGAATCAAGATTGCTTGGAGAAATATCAACAACCTCAGATAAGCAGATGATACCACTCTAATGGCAGAAAGTGAAGAGGAACTAAAGAGCCTCTTGATGAGAGTTAAAGAGGGGAGTGGGAAATGCTGGCTTAAAGCTCAACATTCAAAAACTAAGATGATGGTGTTTGGTCCCATCCTGTGTGCATGCTGAGTTGCTTCAGTTGTGTCCAACTTTCCGTGACCCTTTGGGCTCTCGCCCGTCAAGCTCCTCTGTTGATGGGATTCTCTGGTCCCATCACTTCTTGGCAAGTAGAAGGGGGAAAAGTGGAAGCACTGACAGATTTTATTTTCTTGGGCTCTCAAATGACTGCAGCCATGAAATTAAGACAGTTGTTCCTTGGAAGAAAAGCTGTGACAAACCTAGATAGTATATTAAAAAACAGAGACATGAGTTTGCCAAGAAAGTTCTGTAGAGTCAAGGTTATGGTTTTTCCAGTAGTCATATACAGATGTGAGAGTTGGACTGTAAAGAAAGCAGGCTGAGCTTCAAAGAATTGATGCTTTTAAACTGTGATGCTGGAGAAGACTCTTGAGAGTCCCTTGGACTGCAAGGAGATCAAATCAGTCCATCCTAAAGGAAATCAACCCTGGGTGTTCATTGGAAGGACTGATGCTGACATGAAAACTCCAATACTTTGGCCACCTGATGCGAAGAACTGACTCACTGGAAAAGATCCTGAAGCTGGGAAAGATTGAAGGCAGGAAGAGAAGGGGACAACAGAGAATGAGATGGTTGGATGACATCACCAACTCAACGGACATGAGTTTGAGTAAACTCGGGGAGTTGGTGATGGACAGGGAGGCCTGGTGTGCTGCAGTCCGTGCGGTCTTACAGAGTCAGACGCGACTTAGTGACTGAACAGCTACCATGTGTGAGTCCCTAGCATAGCCTAGGGCAGACGGGCTGTGGCCTCGGTTGGGTGCGTCCACGTGCTGAATAGAGGAAGAGTGGCTCTTGGAAAGGTGAGCTCTGCAGAACCAGCACAGTGCTCACGGCAGGGACGCAGTGACTCCAGGAGGGACTCAGGGGTTGTAAGTGGACACTGGCCTGCAGGAGGGTCCAGATGAGTTCTCACAGGCTGGGTTCTTGCTTCAACATGATCCTCAGGATCATAAGTCGGGCTTCTGGAACTTGTGTGCCCACGCGTGGGCAGTGCCATCTCTGTGCGGGGAGACATGTGTCTGTGACGAGCTGCGCACTGCATCTCCTGTGGTTTGAGAGGGGCGTTGGAAGGACTTGGTTCTTTGTCTTTTGCCTCGAATCAAAACTTAAAAAGACAAAACAACAAAGCAGTTAAAAAAAAATCTATTCTGGAGAACTTTTATCTACTTTTTCTCTGTAACACAGTAGGACTTAGAGATGATTGAGGGTGCCTGCTAACAAGGTGCTTGCTTAGTCATTTCACCTCCTGAGACTTTTTTAGGTGCTTGACAGTAATGTGCACAGCCGTGTTTCTGAAACCAGACGTTTCTTTTTGGCGCTGTGGGCAGTGAGGGTGCAGGCACTTGGGTTGTCTGAAGTTGTGCCCAGCAGCTTCTGCACTGACCCGCTCTTCCCCTGTTTTCCAGTCCACACCGTCTCCGTCGGCAGACCTCCTGGGTCTGGGGGCCGCACCCCCAGTCCCCGCAGGCCCCCCACCCTCTTCCGGTGGGCTGCTCGTGGATGTCTTCTCAGACTCACCCTCTGCGGTTGCGCCCCTGGCTCCCGGCTCCGAGGACAACTTCGCCAGGTAGTCTGCCTCCTATCCCGAGGGTGGGGCCCCCCCTCTCCTGAGTGTGTCCCAGGCAGGCGGCAGCCAGCGTCCATCCCTGCAGCCCCTCACGCTGAGGGGCCTGTGCCCTGGACTCGCTGTCTCCAGTTAATGAGGAAACTGGGCTCCAGGTGGGCGAGGGAGCGGGCTGCCCTGGGCTCTTGCTGCAGCTCACCCCCTCCCCTGCACTGTGCCCCGGTCCTCCATTCATGCCCGTGGCTGCCCTCCCGGGGCCCAGCTGGTGTTTGAGAAGCACTCTTCAGTTGGAGTCGCTGCTTTGTCCTGTGGGATGTGTGCCGGTGTGCCGCCTCTGTCCACTCCCACCCCCCCCACCCCCCGTCACCTGTGTGACCAGTGTCCAGCGTTGGCCTCCCCGCTGGGGGCTGGCAGAGTGCTGCATGCGGTTGCCTTTGCTGTGTTCCCTGAGGCCTCCTCAATCCCTGCCTTCGCTGCTTGGTGGGTCTTGTTCTTTTCGGCTTGCTCTTTGTGCCTCTGTCTCTTGAATCTTACGTCTGGATGAGAGGTGGGCACCCCCCCCCCCCACCCCAAGAGCAGAGCGGCTGTCCAGTTTCAGTCCTGGGCCGTGGCGGTGTCTGTGGTCTGCAGCCTCCGTCCTCTGCCCGCCTCACACACTGACCTGCTTCCTGTGCTGCGGGAGTGACTGGGACGGGCAGCTGTGCAGGGCTGCTCCTTGTCTGGCTCTGGCTGAAAACAGACTCTTTTTTTTTGTTTTTTTTAGATTGAGATGTTAAGTTGATTTGCAGCAGCATGTTGGTGATTCCAGAAAACTGTGGCTGTGTTTCCCTGTGTGCAGGGTGTGTGCTTGTAGCTTTTCTGTGCGGTGCCCAGCAGTCTGCCCCTCTCCATCCCCTCCCGTCTTCCCTCTCCCCTTCTCTCTCCCCACTGGTGACCACTGCTTTGTTCTCTGAGTCTGCTTCTGCTTTGCTATATTTGTGTCATTCTTCGATTCCACATGTGAATGGTGACACAGTCTTTGTCTTTTTCTGATTCATTTCATAATGCCCTCCGGCCCATCCATGTTGTTACACGTGACAGAATTTCGTTCTTTTCTGTGGCTGAGCAGTAGTCTGTCACGTGTGTGTGTGTGTGTCCACGCACCCACTGATGGACACTTGGGTGGTTTTTGTATCTTGGCTGCTGTAAACAGTGCTGCAGTGAACATGGGGGTACATGTATCTTTTTGAATTTGTGTTTTTGTTCTTTTTGGATATATACCCCAGAGTGGAGTTGCTGGGTCATGTGGTTGCCCTGGGTGGGAAAGATCCCCTGGAGAAGGGAATGGCTACCCATTCCGGTATTCTTGCCTGGAGAAGCCCATGGACAGAGGAGCCTGCCGGGCTACAGTCCATGGGTTCGCAAGGAGTCGGACACGACTGAGCGGCTGACCTTCCCCTTTCATGGCCACTCCAGCTTTAGTTTTCTGTGGGCCCTGGGTGCCGCTGCCGCGCGTCTGCAGCAGCTCACGCCCCAGCAGCAGTGCTCCCAGACACTTGTCTCTGGTGTCGGTGCTGACGGCTGTTCTGACCTGTGCGAGGCGCCACTTGTTGTTCTGGTCCCCCTCTCCCTGATGGCTAGTGACGCTGACCATCTTTTCACCTGCCTGTGGCCATCTGTGTGTCTTCTTTGAAGAAATGTCTGTTCAGGTTTTCTGCCCATTTTTTAATTGGGTGGTTTGGTTTCTTTGAATTGAGCTGCATGAGCTGTTTGTGTGTTTGGAGGGTTACCCTTGTGTTGGTTCTATTGTTTGCAGATATTCTCTCCCATTCAGTGGGTTTTGTTGATGGTTTCTTTTGCCCTGTGAAAGCTTTAAATTAGATCCCATTTATTTTTGCATTTGTTTCCTTTGCCTTAGGAGCGATCCAGGTAAATATTTCCTGTGATTTATGTGAAAGAGTATTCTGCCTATGTTCTCTTCTAGGAGTTTAATGGTTTCAGGTCTCACATTTAGGTCTTTAATCCATTTTGAGTTTATTCTTCTGTGTGGTGTGAGAAGGTGTTCTGGTTTCATTGTTTTCCATGGAGCTGTCCAGCTTTTCCAGCAACAGGGGCCGGGGGAGCAGGGGAGGGGCCGGGCGGGCTGGGTGGGTGAGGGTGTGTGAGGCCCGCAGACGCCCGTGAGAGGTCTGTGCCCGATGTCAGGTGCCCGAGCCTGTGGGCCGACCTGATGTGTGTGCTGGGGTGCCTGTGTTCTGCCTGTGTCAGTGGGAAGCCATGCGCAGGTGAGCAGCACGTTCACGGAAAGCAGATGACTGACCCAGCCCCTGTGGTCGCCGCTCTCGGCTCACCTCCTGTCTCCAGGGGGCTGCTTTCAGCGGTGTTCGTTGGAATGTTTTCTGCTTTTCCCTTTCCTTGTGTCCCAGAGAGGCTTTCCAGCCTTTGTGTCCCTTAAAGCCCTTCTCACAGCCGACCTTGGCATTTTCAGCGGGTGACCGAGTGACTCACGTGCTCTCCCTTGTCCCCAGGTTTGTCTGTAAAAACAATGGTGTGTTGTTTGAAAACCAGCTGCTTCAGATTGGACTGAAGTCTGAGTTTCGGCAGAATTTAGGTATGTGTTTTACTTCCTTAATGAAAACTTCTCTCATAAGGGTCTAGTTTCCAGAATATATGAAGGACTCCAAATCAAAAACAGGGACAGAACCCAGGTGAAGAAATGGGCAAAAGTCTTGAATAGACATTTCTTTGAGGAAGACACTCAGGTGTCCAGAAGCGCTTGACAAGGTGCCCAGCATCGTTGACAACCTGGGGAGTTCAGTGAGGCCACACTGAGGCGCGTTCACACCTGCAGCAGCTGCTGTGAGCGCGGAGCCAGCGCCAGAGGGCAGGAGGGGCCGGAGCCTGGTGTGCCGTTGGTGTTCGTGTCAGGGGGGCAGCTGCTGTGGAGACAGTGGAGCTTTCTTACACGGTTACAAGTAGGACCACCATGTTCGTGACCTAGCCATTCCACTTCTGGGTGTTGACCCAAAAGATGTGAAAGGAAAGCAGGGCTAGAACAGACACTTGCACGCCCAAGTTCGCAGCGGCATTATGCAGTTGCCAAAAGGTGGAGAACCTCAGTGCCCGCCCCTGATGAGTGGCTGTAAACACACCAGCAGCTGGACGCTGCTCAGCCTTCAAGGGGAAGGAGACCCTGACAGGCTGCAGCGTGGATGGCCCTTGAGGACGTGATGCTCAGAGAAGTAGTCCAGTCACAGGACGGATGCTGTCTGACTGCCCCACAGGAGGTCCCTGGAGGGGTCTCACCCACAGGCATGGGAAGTGGATGGGGGCCAGGGGCTGGGGCTGTGGGGGAGGGGAGTGAGGGTCCAGTGCGGATGGAGTGTCTGTTTGGAAAGGGGAACAGATTCTCGGGATGACGGTGGGGAAGGTAACACAGCCTGGTGAATGTCTCAGTGTCCCGAGCTGTGCGCCTGGAATTGGTTGAGACGGTAAATTGCAGGGTATATGTATTTTACCACACTTTTTATAAAAGCTGTTTTTGCTTTCCCATATCACCCCAAATTACATGCACCGACGGTTGGGACTGCCCCTCCTGGTGCCCTTGGGGCGACCTGTCCTGGAAGCAGCAGGGAGTGAGCAGGGCAGAGGCAGTGTATCTGCTGGAGGGGAGTGAGCGGGGAGTGAGCAGGCCGGAGGCGGTGTGTCTACGAGTGGGGAGTGAGCAGGGCGGAGGCGGTGTGTCTGCCCCGCAGGGTCGCAGGGACCCCGACCCGTCTCACTGAAGCGGGTGGAGGTGTTCTCCTTCGTGTTGGGCTTAGGCGTTAACTCTGGGTTATCGTGGGGTCACCCAGGTGCTCGGTGTTTTTTACACTGGCAGGAGCCATGCACACCTGCGTGTGCTTTCTAGGAGATGTGAGGTCACGTTCCATCCTGGATTCCAAGGGTGCAGACATTCACGGAGGCCTGTGTGACATTGTCTGCTCTGATGGCACAGGGCTCCCCATGCTGCGGCCGAGGGCTCGGGGTGCTGTCGGGTGGCGGGGGGGCTCTGTTCTCCCCCTGCACCTCAGGGGCTGCGATGTGCCCTGTGAACAAGCTGCTCTGCTTCCTTCCAGGTCGGATGTTCATATTTTATGGTAACAAGACCTCCACACAGTTCCTGAATTTTACTCCGACACTTATCTGTTCGGACGACCTCCAGGCCAATATCCTTGGTCCTGTTGCCCCTCGGGCCACAGGCAGGGTGGGTGGGAGGATTGACTCAGGGGACTCTCCTGGGGCTGGTCCTGCAGCTTCAGGGTCTGACTGCTGTCAGGCTGTGCATCCATAACCCTGAGAACTGCCTGCAGGCGCACTTCAGCGTCCCATCCCTTGAGGAGTCCCCAGGCAGAGCAAGGGCTGGGGCATCAGGACCAGCTGCACCTGCTGACAGCCCTGGCAGACAGCAGGACTGGACGTGAGTGCCTCCAATCTGTCAGCCTCGCCATCCAGGGGTCTGTCCTGGGAGGATGGACTCCCAGATAGTGAGGGGCGGGCGGTCCAACTTGACCACCAAGGACGCCACCTTCTTTGGAGAAGCTGTGTGAAGCAGGAACCTCCTCTCCTCAGATCAGACCTATTTTTCAGTGAATTCAGTTGTTCAGTTGTGTTTGACTCTCGCAACCCCATGGACTGAGCACGCCAGGCTTCCCTGTCCCCACCAACTCCCAGAGCTCGTTCAAACTCATGTCCATTGAGTAGGTGATGCCATCCAACCATCTCATCTTCTGTTGTGCCCTTCTCCTCCTAAGATCTATTTTTATTTTAAGGTAAACACCTTTTAAATATAGACTGTTGACACTCAGTGTTTGTGGCTAGCCATGAAAGACAGCGTACAGATTTTGTCCTCGGGCAGGATGTGTGCTCTGTCCTGCCGAGCCCCTCCTGGTGCCCCTCTGGCTGCGGGGCTTGGCTGTATTCCCCTCATTCTCTTGGCTTCCTTGACTCCCGCACATCTGAGCCTGCAGACCAAGCCTGTGGACCCAACCGTGGATGGGGGCGCACAGGTGCAGCAGGCGGTCAACATCGAGTGCGTGTCCGACTTCACGGAGGCGCCAGTTCTCAACATCCAGTTCAGGTGGGTGTCAGGCCAGGACAGTACGTGGCTGTAGCTGTCACTGCCGTGACGTGGGGCCTGCTGCTCGGAGGTCGGCTGCGGGAAGGAGTGCCTGCCAGGTCCTCACCGGGGCATGTGCTCCGCGTATCACACTCCCCACACACAGACTGACTGTTTCTGTGGCATGTTTGTGTTGCTGCTTTGCTCGTTTCTGCTGTTTTTCAGTGACCGGTAGAGTGAGTGACCAGGCTGCCCTGTTGGGTATTCTGTAAGGTTAAATTTTGGAAAAGCACGCTCTGAAACATGAACTACATAGAGACCTGAAGACAGTGTAACATGTAAAATCTGGGGAAATAGATGTGCAGAATTTTGTTTCATTCTGTAGGCACTCTTTTCTTTAGTCATTTTATGGAAAGAGGAACGACCCACACAATTTATGCTGACTTGGAATGTAGGGCATCGACTGCTGGGGATGGGGGAGGTGGCAGCTGTCCCCAGTCGTCGTGACCAACCTGGCAGCGTCGGCTGAGGGTGTGTTTCCCAGCGTCCTTGGCCCTCGATGACTGTGTGCTAGAGATGGATGGTCTTGCTGGGGCCTCGGGCCGCCCTTCTGCCTTCTGCACGCGGCCCCTCTGTGCCCCAGGGGTCTCGCACTCAGGACCTGGTCCTGACTGAGTCTCAGGTTTTCTGCGCATTCGTGGACTCCTCCCAGTGGACCTCTGTGTTGCTCACAGGTACGGGGGAACCTTTCAGAACGTGTCTGTGAAGCTGCCTATCACACTCAACAAGTTTTTTCAGCCCACGGAAATGGCTTCTCAGGATTTCTTCCAGCGCTGGAAGCAGCTGAGCAAGTGAGTGGCAGCTTGTCCGTAGGTGGAGAGGTGGGCAGGGGCCGGGCTGCAGACAGCTGACGGGGCGGTGGTCTCTCTCCTCAGCCCCCAGCAGGAGGTGCAGAGCATCTTCAAGGCCAAGCACCCGATGGACACAGAGGTCACCAAGGCCAAGGTACTGGTCTTGCGATGGACATTCCCAGGGTCGGGACATAGCCTGGCCCTCTGAGGAGATTGGTGTGTTCCCCTCTTGGAGGACTCTCCCCTCTGCCGGCACTGGTGCCATGGCCTCCTGTTTCTCCCCTTTCTTCACAGATTATCGGCTTTGGCTCTGCGCTCCTAGAGGACGTCGACCCTAACCCTGCGAACTTCGTGGGTGCTGGCATCATACACACCAGGACGGCCCAGATCGGGTGTCTGCTGCGTCTGGAGCCCAACCTGCAAGCCCAGGTGCAGCCCTGTGATGTCGCTGAACATGCTTGAGTGGTGGTTACTGCAGTGGAGTTTATACACAGGGAGACAGGCAGGTCCCAGGGGTGGGCATTCGGTGCGCTACAAGGAAGTGTACACCTGCGTAACCACCACCACCCGCTGGTGCACGTGGCATTTCCATCGCCCCACAAGGTTCCTGGGCACCCTCGTCAGCCCTGGCCTCCCCAGGAGGCAGCGCTCTGCGGCCCGGCGTGGGCCCCCCAACTTCGGCAGGCGCCTGTTGCTGCTGTGTCCGTGGGCGGCCCTGGTGGAATATGGTGGCTCTCCCTGTGGGGAGGTGCACAGTTATCTCGTCCAGCGTGCCTGTCCATGGACGTGGGGCTGCTGCAAACATCGGGCATCCTTTGTGTGCATGTGACTTCATTTCTTGCGGGTGACACCCGGGTGGGCTGGCAGACTCACGGGGTCCAGGCACCGTCAGCGTTGCTGCCCTGCCAGCAGTGCGGTCCTGATGCCCCGCAGCTGTGCTTGAAGGCTCCAGTTGGTCCCTAAGCATGAGTGCTTGTTACTGTCAAGCTTTTATTTTAGCTGAAAGCGCCTTTGATGCTTGAGTCTGTCACACTGGCCGCCTTCAGGGAAGGGCTGAGCAGGGACTTTGGGGGCTGCTGGGCAGGGCCTGGCCCTAAGGTGGTCTGCTGCCCAGAGCGCCCCCGTCCCACCACTACCTGCTGTGTCCGCTCTTCCAGATGTACCGGCTGACGCTGCGGACAAGCAGGGAGACCGTCTCTCAGAGGTTGTGTGAATTGCTGTCGGAACAGTTTTAAATCGGCAAGGGCGGAGGGTCAGGCTCCCGTCTGTGCATCTCCTCGTCTCCACCTCTGTCTTCGTTGCTGAGCTGCAGGTCCGTGCCCTGCCCGGTGTCGCAGCCCCACTTCTTGGCCTCGTCCCTCCTGGGGATGGATGGGGAGCCTGTGTGCCCTTGAGGAGGAGGCTTAGCCTGGACCCAGCCAGCCTGCCGAGTCAGGAGGAAGGGCGTGGCTCCCGGGATCAACTCTCACAGAAATCAAGACAGTTCTGTGGTTAAGTCTACACATTAAAGGGAAATTAGAAGTTCAAGTGAAAGTGGAAATTTTTTTTGAAATTCTCTCAAGATGCTGTGTTCTCTTACTGGTAGTTCATCTCTGACACCCTCAGAGGAGAGGCGGTGTTCTGTCAGCAGGACTAGATCTCGGCTGCTTGGATGGGAGACGGGGAGGCTGCCACGGCTGTGGGTGTATTTGCTAGGGGCCTGGGGGCCTGTGGCGGCTGAGTTCTGCATCTCCAAGTTAGACAGGCTTGTGTTCTCAGTTACTGTCAGGGAAAACTTGTCCTGCCTAGATTGAGTTCAGCTTCCTTCCCCAGCACTGTGTTGTTAAAGGGAGGCTGGTAAGGCCCTCCGACTGAATCCTGGCGTGCCCAGGGTGAGGAGGGTCCCTGCTGGCCCTGGAGGGTGTCTTCCTGGCCTCACGCGTCTTTGAATTCATTTGAGTCATGGTTACCACAGCGGCCCAGGGCTGGGTCTCGGTTGTGATTGCAGGGTGTGGCATGGCCTCCAGAGAGGATTCTGGAAGGTGAGCTGTCTCTTCCCTGTGCAGTGGCCTTAACCTGTTGGGGTCACGACTGCAGGCTGAGGTGCCGTGGACCTTGGCCTGAGGGTGGGAGGAGGGAGGCCTGCGTGTGGCTGGGGAGTGGGCAGCTGAGCGGGGCTGTGGTGGCAACGGCCCCCACGCGCGTGGCTCTCAGCGCCGCACCCACACCCTGAGATGCTGAGGTGGGGCCTGTGTCATTCCCTGGTTTCCAGGGGAGACCAGGCCCTCGCTGCCCCGTGGGGGGTGCCACATGGGTCAGGGGAACGTGGCGGCCCTCTGCCGGGTGCGGGTCCTTGGGGAGGCACCTTCCGGGAGTTGCCCTGTGGGTGCTGGGGCCTCACCATAGCGCTGATGCCCCACTCGAGGTTCCCACGTTTGCCACCCTGCAGTCCTGCATGTGCAGTCACGGGCCTGAGGCTACACGTGAGAGGCAGCTGGCGGCGCCCCTTGGCACTGCAGGTGGATGGTGTGGCCGTCCTGCTTTTTGCTCACGCTCCAGTGTGGTTTCCTGTTAGCTAATGCCCTCCCCCCACCCACCATTCTAGTTGAGTGTCCATCTGCAAAGCAAAAGCAATACCGGGGTGATGATAGGAACACGTGTGGTCTCTATAGGGAGGGGTCCTTTGGGGCTGTGAGCGCCGATGACACGGGCTGTCATCTGGCCTTGGTGCCCCGGGCACGGGGCAGAAGTCTCAGTGCATCCAGATGACATGCCTTTTGCTCTGCACCTGGACTCAGGACATGGGTTGAGCCTGCAGGACTCACCGTGCATGTTGGGGGCCCGCCTTCTGGAGGGCAGGAGTCTAGGGGACAAGTGGGCCCAGGAGTTCCTTCCTGGAGAGTAAGCCTACTGAGCTCAGGCAGGGTGACCCAGCCATAGGTGGGGTGCAGGGTCCCTCAAGACGGAAGGTGTCACGGGAGAGTAGTCCTGATCTAGGAGGGGGACAAGGGCCTGCAGGGGAGGGCCTGGGGCCACAGCAGTGTCCCTTCTGGGCCCAGACTGATGTTGGGCCAGTCCCGTGGACCAGGAGTGGGTCTGGGGACTTAGGAACGCGAGGGCGTGGGAGCCACCAGGAATCTTTGGGAGCCTTTGTGCTTTGACCAGTGCCAGTTTATTTGTCATCTGTTCACCGGGGCTGTGGTGCACAGCGCCTGGGTGCCCCTCCTCAAGGTACGCTTTGTCGGCGGGCAGGTGGGGTGCTCCTCCCCCTTTGCTTCCCTCTGCTCACTGTGACCTGTGTCTCTCCCCAAGCATCTCTGCTCGGGGGCCCAGCCTCCCCAGGAGTCCCTTCTGGATGGCTTTCCTTGCTGCTGTCATCCTGGGTCCTGGCTGCAGTAGGACTGGAGGCCGTGTGCATGAGCAGTGGGCGTGGCAGGCAGTAACCCATGTGGCCCCAGAGGCCAGCCAGTCCACTGCAGCCTGCTGGGTCCAGTCGGGATCTGCAGGGCCGCTGCCTGCACCCCCTTTCTCTTCAGGGGCCCAGGTGAGCCACCTCCCAAGGGCTCTGGGAGGCCATGGCTGTGCCTCGGAAGGGGCTGCAGGGCAGCGTGTCGGGGTGGTTTTGTGGGCGCAGCTCTAGTCTCCGCAGCGCTGGCGGCGGCACGCACAGCTGCTGAACACTCGCACTGTGAGCACCAGCGGCTGCCCCCACGCCGCAGGGTCCTCGCAGGGCAGCGTGAGCCGCTTCTCGTAGGAGCTGACGGGGTGGCAGCAGCTGCAGGTGGTGGCCACCTGCATGGTGTTGGTGTTGAAGCTGCAGAGGAGTGGTGGAGCATGTGTCAGGGCGGCCACCTCAGGCCCCCCCGGGCCCTCGCAGGGGTAGGTGCCAGGATCCCAGCCTGGGCCTGCAGGGAGGGGCTGGCTCCCGTTTCTGAGCTCCCCCGCCCCCAGCAGGTGTGGCGCAGACAGGTGTTTGTGAGTGGGCCAGGGTGACCTCACGGGGCGGCGGCACACTACCGGGTTGGGAGCTCTCAGTGGATCTTCCCTAGCTTCTGGGAGAAGTGCCTCTGTCGGGCCAGGCGGGCTCCCAGCCCAGCCCAGACCCGGTCAGACACCGCTCAGGGCTGATGGCTCACCTGGCTGAGGAGGTGCACACACCCTCGCAGCGGGTCACTGTGATGTTGGCCGTGCACCCCTGGTAAGTGACTTCTTCATCAGACTCCTTCACGCTGCAGGCCCCTGGGCGCGGAGAGGCGGGTGTCAGACAGCGACCCCGGGTCGTGACTTCTGGGGCTCTGCACCTGGCCCCCTCGAGAGCAGGAGCTGACATACCTGGCTCTAGGACGCGGGTTTTTAATCCCCTTTTTGTGTGGCAGAGTGGGTGGTGCTGGCTCCACCAAGGGAAGGCTGCCAGCTGCCTGACTGCTTACATGATCTGAACAGGACCACGTGGGCACCTGCCAGCTCTCTCCTGCCCACAGTGGTGTCTTCCTTGGGCCCCCACCCTGGGCCCCGGGCCACCTCCCCTTGTCTGAGCCCCACTGAGGTCAGACCTCACAGCTTTGTGTGGAAACAAAGCCTGATATTAAGTCTCTCGTTTTTTCTTACTGAAAATTGGCTACATTGGGAGTCTCTCAAGGTCAAGGGTTTCTGAGGATGAGGCAGATTTCCAGCCCCCGCCCTGGTGGAGCCATGCTCAGCTCCCAGCCGCCCTCGCCACCTTCCCTCCTGCCCCAGCACCCACCTGTGGGTGGAGGTGTCTCTGGTCTACTGGTCTCAGTACCTGTGAGAGGGACGGGGTAGGTGTCAGTGTACTCCATGGGAACAGATGGTATCACAAGAGCTCCCTGCAGCGGTCTGTGCTACTGGGGGTGGGGCGGGGTGTGGACCCGGCTGTGAGCTCTGCCCTGCGTGCATCCCAGTGGACAGGCTGTAATGATGAGTTATCCTGGGTGCCTGTCAGAGAACTGCTAGTGTGGGACTTGAGTGAAAAAGGGAAGACTGGACAGTCTTTCTCGCCTTCCCACCTGCCCCCTTGTGGGGCCTCCCTGTGGCTTCAAGCCCTGCCTGCCTTGCTTTTCCACTGGAGGTGAGGTGAGAGGCTTGGTGGGGACAGAGCTCTGGATGCTTCCCTGTGGTTCCCATTGCCCCCAGCTCTCCTCCCCTTGATCTCCTGCTCCTGCTCTTTCATCCCATGTTCTGGGTCTCCTCCTCCCAGGCAGCCTCTACCCAGTCCTTGTCCCACAAAAGAAAATGCTATTTTTCAGTGCCATTCTGGAGTGGTGGAAGTCCCACTAGGGGAAGCCTGGGGATGTGTGAGAGGAATCTGGTCCAGGGGAGGCATGCCATGCAAGGGAGAGGCATCCCTGGAGGACAGGGTTTCTCGAGCAGGAAGGGAGAGCAGAGCTGGAGGCACCTGCAGTGCTGAGACCTGGGCAGGCACTGAGCCTGGAGCACGGGCACCCCAGCTGCTGGTTCCAGTTCAGCCCCAGCAGGCGCCTGAAGTGAGATGTGTGTGCACTTTTTGCAACCTGGGGGTGGCTGGCCAGGCTGGAGTTCACTGGGACCTGGCCAAGAAAGGCTGAGCAGAGGCCCAGAGGACATGAGAGCAGCATACAGCAGAGGACAAGATGGAGAGGGGGGGTGGGAGAGGTGTGACCCTGTCCTTCTAGACACCCCCAGGACACAGCTGGAGCACCAGAGCTCAGAGACCTAGAGTGGCACGCCACTGCTGGTCAGAGGCTGTGGCTGTGGCTCCACCTGGTTATGCGTGACCCCAAGTCTACTCATTGTCCTGTGCCGCCTGACCGTCCCTAGGCAGGGCAAGTGATAGCTTTAGGGGGAAGACACACTTGCTGTGAGAGCTGGACCAGCCACTGTGGGTGTGGGCAAGGCGTGATGGGGCACAGCAGGGATCAGGAGAGAGCACCCATGGGGTCATCAGGAGGTATGAGGGGGTAAGAAAAGGCGGGGATCCAGTGGGACTGACCCAGAGTGTTGTCCAGAGCGCAGAGACAAGGTTGAGAAGAAGTGTGCCCCGTGGGTCATGAGGGGGCTGCAGAGATGTCACTCACCTGCAGGGCTGGGAAGAGATGTGGCAAGAGAGGAGATGGACTGGCTCTCAGTGGACACAGACCCGGTGGTGGGAAAGGAGGAGCTTCTGTGTGCAGTGATGGAGCTGGTCAGGAACATGGTAGTCTGCAGCCCAGTGGTACTCGGCTGTCTGGTTGTGAGGTTGGTGGCTGGGGAACTTGGGATGGCTGTCACCCCCAGGGTAGAAGACAGGAGGCTGTGGGTGGGGGTTTGGGTGGTGAGAGAGGTGGACTGTGAGGTGGTGGACTGAGAAGATGGGACGGAGGAAGTGGGGCTGCTGGCTGTGGTCCGGGGTGTAGACAGGACTATGGTACTAAAACTGGGGACAGGGGACAGGGTGGGAGACGATGGAGGTGAGTGGGAGGACCTGATGGGTGTGGAGGTGGCTAGGGAAGGGGGGCTGGTCGACAGGGAGGCTGTTTGTGATACAGTCAGAGGTGCAGAGGGGGAGGGAC